CCCCAAAACCCCAAAACCCCAAAACCCCAAAACCCCGTGATATCAGGACATTTTTGGATGTAATAAGGTGGATAATTGGTTGTATTAGGGTGATTAGCTAGAATTTGGGGTCAGGACTGCTTGTTTCTAGAGAGTTAGGAGTGGTCTTACATATCTACGCTTTTCATCCTTTAGTTCTTTTCTTAAATGTCCCATTCTTATTCTAAAGATTAGCTGAGGAGCTTTTACTCCATTTCATCATCTCTCAAACTCATTTCTTCCCTCAATCTATCAATTTCCTTTCTCAGTTCTTCTCACTCACTCTCATACCTCTTTGATAAACCTATTCAAATTTCACTTCCTCTTCTCCAAAACTCCCTATTCGAAAACCTCCTGGTCCAAAATTCAATTCTAAACTCTCTAAAAACATCCTAATATCTCTACCTTTATGATGAGTTATACTTTTGTCCATTTTATCAATGACTCTATCTTTCTCATAAAATACCATTGTTAGCTCCTTTAGTTCTTCATTTTTATGATCTATCATATTTCTGGTCTTATCTACATACTTTAACCCTTATTTTTAGCATACTTAGCATCATGCTCAATGATCCTATTGTTACTCCGTTGCAACTTCAGATCGTGAGTTAAGGATTCCAGGGCCGTACTGCTAGCAGAGATCTTATTTGAGTTGGTCAAATGTCTGATTGATAATGTCCTAATCATGAGATAACAAAGTTAAAATAAAAAAAAATAGTCTAAAAATTACCATTTTCGATTTATTCCTCTCAGAATTATGGATTTTATTAGCCTAGATTTTACTTAATGTGAAACACTACGCTTAAAGTAGTTCCTTCATTCTGTTGATCTCCGTCAGCATGGTTTTGGACAGAAGTCTCCTCTCCAGAGTACTCCATATGTCTATAAGTAATAAAAATAAAACTGTACTTCTTATGGATTCTTTGAAGATGGAAAAACTGGAACTTATTTGTTATTTTTGAGGTCTAAATATTAAACAATACTCCTAAAATGATACATCTCTGTAGCTCAGGTTCGCTGATGAACATCCTACCACGCTCAACATTAGGTAAAAATTTGACTTCTTTGATATCAGTAGGTTCATTTTCAAACTTCATCCTATCCTTATGTTTAAAGCCTTGTTTTCTGCCAAAAGTTTCTTCACTCAGCTGCTTCTGGACGAAGACCTCTTCGAGGTCTTCATCGCTGCTGATGTTCTCAGAGTACTTTGATGAAGAGAACTCCATTGAAAAATAAGTTTATTTCAAAAATATATCTAAGTTAGGGGTTTTGGGGTTTTGGGGTTTTGGGGTTTTGGGG